TACCTAATGTAAATAAGTCGTCTTTTTTCTTTGTTACATTTGTTTCCATATAAGTATTGATTCACTCGAGTAGATAAATAAAAAATCTTAGAATATTAAATTGACAAAAAATTTCTTCAAATATATAATATTGTTAAAAGGAGATTATTTGATAAACTGAAGATTTAAATTCATAAAACAGAAATTTAATGAAAAGCGTACTCACAATTAAATTCCTTGGCATATTAAAAATATTATTTTCTCAATTTCAACGCATCGTTAATTTGGAAAGTATATATCGAAATCAAATTTGGAGTAATTGATATAATTGAAATGTATGCACATTGAAGCCAACCTTCTTTCTTCAATTAAAGAAATATAATAATAATTCATTAATACAGAATTCCATAGAACCAGATACAGAATATCATAGAATAATAATTAATTGTATATAAATTTTAAATTATGTAATTGTTAACATTTTATGTACGAATATCGTAACTGATAATTATTTAATTAATTTTTTTTTTTTTAATTTTTTTTTTTTTCTAATAATTGATCATTATTTAATTCATTTTCATAATAATACCGAGATAAAACCGACTTTTAAAAATAACAATTTCCTCCTAACTCCTTATATTCTAATCGGATATTTTAACACTAACATTTTATAAATAAATGTTAACTGTTAAGATCTCGATGATTGTCAAATTATTTATAAAATTTTGTTTTAAAGAATTTCAATGTCCAATAAATGTGATTCAATGAGTCCTCTGACACATCACATGATAAAGAAGTGACTTTCCAGTTTTGTTTTGTTTTGTTTTTGTTTTTTTTTTGTTTTTTCTTGATTTTTTTTTTTTTTTTTTTTTGAATGACATAAAAAGATGGAAGAAAAAAATTACGTTTACCACCCACTTCTGTTTATACAGAAAATCCATTAAATCTCGGCAGTAATATTCCTGTGACGTATGACTTTTTACTTGAGTTGTTTATACTTTACGCATTCCATTTATTTTGCCTTTTAACGCAATCTTAGTATTCGTTAAAATCAGAAAATTATGATTAGTTTACTATTATGATTTATAATTTTTAAAAATAAAACTACTAATGTATATAATTGATTGCATTCGTAATAAGGAAATTTATTTGTAGAATTCACTATATTTTATAAATATCGAATATCCCAATGTCCCGTAATAATAATATTGTTAATAATTTTGAATATTATTGTTTTAATATGTAAATTTAATACATATATAAAATCACTAACTCGCTAGCGAGATATAAACAATGGAAAGTCGTTATTCTATTGGATCAATTCATTTTGACGTTATTGCACTTGACAAATCTAAAACAATTGGAACTTTTCATAAATACAGATATATTTTATTATATGAAATCTGAAGGATCAACGAAGCAAATAATCGCAGATAATCCCTTGGCTTCGATTAGACCCTCTTATTGTCACTGTAAGAGACGTTTTATTTCATCATGGGAAAACCTTTCTTTCAAGAATTGAAGTCGATCCTCCCACCCTACGCAATCTGAGTAAATCGCTGACGCGGATTTGACATAATTCAAGGGCACAAATAGTTTAATGACCCTTTGGTCCGACATATTTTCAGATTATCGTTGCAATTTAAGAAAGCGAGAAGTTAAGAATAAGGAAACGAACGAACGAGTCAATGAGCTACAGAGAGAAAATTAATTTATTTGTTAAAGCTTTTCACGAAGCCGTAAATAAACCGCTCTGTGAAAATTGGAAAACCTTCAAATCTTGATTGTTTTTTTTTTTATTTTCATAATATCATTATTTTATATTTGAAAAAAGCGAAGACAAAAGCTTCTTAATATCATTCTTCATTTAAAATAAGCTTTATACATATATATTTTTTTTTTATCTGGTTGCTTATCTTACATTCAAAAAAGATAATTTTAGTAATTCTTCAAAGAATATGAAACATATTCTGAAATTTGTATTTGTCTTGACGAACGAGTAATGTACAATTTTTCTAAAAAAAGTATAAAATAATTGAGTAATTTGAACGCGACAAATGCCGCTAAAAATATGAACGTTTTTTGAAAGCTGAAAGTAAATGAAAATGCCAAACGCTTATTTCAAGAAAACAATTTCTGGTAAATCATTTTTTTTTTTTTGCATAATAAACCGTAAGTTGTCTTTTAAGATTTTCACATTATGTATCCATTTATTTAATCATACGAGATTAAAATATTTGAATTTGAAAATCAGAATTTTGATAATGATTGCTGCTATGAAAAGTACTATATCGATGATGGATTACACATACATGTCAGTTAAAATGCACTAAAAATATTTATTGTTTTAAAAATAAATAAACGTTTACGTCCGCGTGTATATTACGTTCCCTTTTAAGCTTACATCTCCTTCGCAGTTCGATGGACCACTTCAATCGTGTCCATCTTATAATCTTCGAAGTTGCATTACGAACAGTTGATTAATGAATTATCGCTTAAAAAGAGATTAATCTAACGAGTAGCGAAGCAAAATAAATAATCGAGACTAGTTTTGTTAAGCACACTATAGACGATGTTTACGAACTATTTTTGTTATCAAGAACCAATCGTACTTTAAGGAAACGGAAACGACATCGGACAACGGTAATTGTAAAACTCGATGCAATGCTTAAACCATATATTGTCTCTTGAAGTGAAACATCCATGACAAAACCAACGTATTAGTCGAAAAGTCCAAGTGGAAAAGCGACGAGAAGGAAGAAAAAGTGGAATGGCGCGGAGGAGATTTACATTCGCCATAAGACTGAGGGTTGCGTCGAAACAATCTAGAAAGCGGAGTAAAATACAAGAGAAGAGAAAGTGGAAGGTAGAAAAACAACAGCACGACAATTCGAGTGCACCTTTTTTGCAATTACTGTGAATGTATTTCGATATGTTTGCATGATATTCATCCCCGTAAATTTTGGAAAGGACGGAGTTTAAGACCAGCGGAGCTTGTTTCGTAAATGCCGGAGATGAACACTGCGACATTTCGCGAAGCACTCTTATTTTCTTTCCTTTCGAGTACAGTAATATTGACTAGCGTTGTACCTAATGCAGCTGCTTAATTTCTAATATCTCTACGTTAAAGTAGTCAATCGTGACTTTTTTTCTCATCTTGGGACGTAGTTTCTGTAACCGCTCCGCCCATTACACCTACTTTATCTCATTTTTCATCGTGTTTAGATACATTTAGAGTATATTATTAATTCCTTTTATAATAAATAGTTTTAATATGCAATGAAAATATAAAACGATATTCTAATACTGCAAGTATATTTTCTTGTTGATCGATAGGACTGATAAGACGATCTTTTATAGGAGCATTTTTGCTGGATAAACAAAAGTGTTGATTTATCACGATTATAAATAAATGTAAATATAATCTTTTATTTCATATAGATTTTACATTATCTCAATATATTAAATTTTTTTCTTTTTCTTTTTAAATATTGTACTCAACATAATACATTGTAATTTTAAGTCTTTAATTTTATATTCAAAAATTGATGTGCAATATTTTCTCAGTGTTTTTTCAATTGACAATTTGGTCATTTGTGCACAGAAAAACGGCACATTCGTACGAAATATACTTTACATATTCACTATTTTTCCAGCCAATCAAAGCCTCCATTTGAAAATTGTATTGCAAAAATAGAAATGGTTTTTACAAAAATCACAATTGAAATTTTATTTTAAATTGAAGAGTAAGTGTTATGTCGAAATCTCTTAAAATGGTGATTTTGTTTTTAAACGATTCCACACAGAAACAACATATCTTTCTCATCAATGTGTAATAATAATAAACGTAATATTAATATTGATTTGTTTCAGAAAATATTCGTTTCTTATCATCTATAACTGTAAAATTGTTTGATAAATTTACGTTGACTATCGAAAAAATATACACACACTATACTTCAACAATCTACAAACACCTTACTACATGCTGTATTATAATTAAAAAATATAGACATATATTTTAATAAATATATATACAAACATTATGTTTCAGTACAATCGTAGATAAGTAGAATTAATTGTATTTCATTATACATATCGATTAATGAAAATATTTAAAATATATAAAAATCGAAAATATAAAAATTGTTTTATACTAATATTAAATTTAGTATTAAATTCTTTATAAATTGCTTAAATGAACGAATATATCATTTAATGAAAAATATCTTCTTCTTAACTAATCATAGAATTAATCAGAATAGACTATTCATATTAATTTGTTCATGTCAATTTCATAATTACACTTAATAATGGTAAGAACTCATTTTAGATCAATGTAATACTTTTAACAGCTATTAGTGGAAAGCTTACAATAAATAAATTAATTAATTCATATAAATATATAAATAATTTCATGAAATAACAATAATGTATTTATATATTTAAAATGCACGCATACGCGTAATCACACATATTTAAAAAATATTTATTGAATAATTTAATTTTTTTTTTTTTTTTTAAAGTTTTCACGTTGATGACTACAACGAAATAACGTTCAATTGAGAATAACTCTTACAATTTTAAATATTAATTCGATTGCGCAATTTAAATAAATTTAGAAACAATAAATTAAAATGAGATATATTTATATCAAGTGAATAATCGATAAAAGTAATCAAAAGGACTTATTGAGTAATTTCAGTAAATTTCTACAAAGGCATATGTAACTCCATACATATGTAACTCCATACATATATAACTCCATACATATGGAACTCCATATATATATATATTTTTTTTTTTTTTTTTTTTCAAATAACTTTTTTTGTGAATATTTAATAAATACACTTGTATCTAATTAAAATGATATTACAATGTTTTTCATTTTATATGTATTTTAATGATTGTTCGTGCGTAAATTAACATACATGTGTATATTCTAAAGAGCTGTATTAGTATTTATGAATATATAATGAGATTATGATAGCTGAAAATTTCATATATCTTCTGTGTTATAGGTGATGGAAATGTTAGCTTTGAAGAATTTGTCGAGATCGTTAGTAACATAGGAGGAACTGCAGCTTCTTCTTCACATTCGGATCAAGATCAAGAAGAACAAGAGCTTCGTGATGCTTTCCGAGTAAGTTATACTTTTGTATCTATAACAGAAATTTAATTTCATACTTTATATTTCTATTTATGTTTGTATGTGTATGTATGTTTATATTTCTTGCATCCTATGCTATATAATATTTTCATATCAGATGAATAAATAGAAAATTTACTTAGGATCGTAAGCAATTATGGTTGTACTATAAACTTGTTATTACCAAAGCATTCATCTTCATAAGTAAATACATTATTATTAAAATTAGTCTACAAATATGATTATTTCATTACTTGCAGTTCAGAACGTTATACTATTAATAAACGATTCTTATAAGAAAACTTTCATTGAAGAATACCTTGAATAACGTAAATAAAATTTATAAAACACTATTAACGTTTTAAAAATAAGAGTGCATGATTAAATGCAAAAGTATAGTTATCTTATGTATTATTAATTTTAAAATGAAAAGTATCATTGAAAATCAGAATAATAATGTCAAATAATACATAAGCAATAATCAATTTACGTATGAATTATAAATACAATAATTTCGTAGCATTCCTTTAATGATTTATAAAATTAATTGAATATAATTGAATATAATTATTCTCTATCATTTCAATGTTAAATTTAACAACTATGAAAATACAAAAAATTTGAAAAATAAAGTAGCTATTATATATTATACAAATTAGAATGAAATAAAACAAAACAAAACAAAAATATTATAGCAGAATGAAATCAAATTTAAAATTATTTTTCTAAAAAAAATAATTACCAGAAACTTTGAATTTTTCTTTTCTTTATATCTAAAAGAGAAGGTAATATGTTAATATATTTGAATACAATTCTTAAAATTTTAGTTTATTTATATTACCGTAGAAAAGCATTAATTGTCTGATTAATGAAAGAAAATGAATATATTATTTAAAATTTATGAATAATCTGATTGTTGCTATTATAAATGAAAATATTATTATATTTTCGCGATTCCGCTATTGATCTTTAATGAAATTAAATTACTTTTTATTCAATTTTATCTCTGTAGAAATGAAAGAATACGATACTCTTCCTTTTTATTATTAAAATGCTTATATATTAAAAATATTATAACTACATATATCGATGAAAAATCTGCTTCAACTGTTTTTGAAAATTAAACGAAGTATATTCATTAATTATGTCATACATTGTATTAATTGAAACGTCACGTTAAGGAAAATAAAATGTTTTGAGCTTGTGAAAGTTTAATCCTACAGTAATAAATTCGACTTTGATGGTATTTCAAGCACGGAAAATATTGATTTAAGTATATTTATATAAAATTTAGTTAAATAACAGGGATAAATAACAATAACTCTCATTAAAATTATAATTGCAGAGATATGCCGTTTTGTTTAAATATATTTGTAATGACGCATAAGTTCGATATCATATGCATATGCTTCGCTCCTTTTTGCTCTTTTAAAATTGTGGCAGAAAAAAAATGAACTAGAATTTCACAGTATCCTCCATGACAAATTGCATACGAATTCAGAAAGTGTGACTGAAATTACAGGCCTCGGAGTACGAAAAAAGAACAAAATTTCAGACAAAAGAAACGAATGTATGAAATCAGAAAAAGCGAGTCATAAAACGATATAATGGCGATAGGGTGGGGAATGGTCCAAGTGTAAATCTTTTGTTGTTGAAGTATACCGTTGAAGAAACAAAAAAAAAATCTTTATTGCTTTCTTCGTGAAATGATCTTTCAAACTTCATATCATTACTTCTCTATTCACACTCGAAATAATTATCACAATGAAATTCCTTGGATACGTGATATTAGTTGTTCATTACTTTAGTAGTGATTAGTTTCTACGTCGTAATTTAAATATTTCTTCTCAGAGAAATAAAAATATTTGATATGCGATTAGTGGACAAAAAGCATGATTGATATATAATTCCAAAATACATTTTAGATTCAATTTAAAAGTTTAGTAATAATTGGTAGTAATTTACAAATATATCAATCCACGATTAATCTAACTCATTCGCATAAAATTTGCCAATGAAAATCGTTAATTAATTTTAATTGTATTATTAAATTAGAGAACATTAATCAATTTTGTTTTAATATTAAAAAATACGTAACTACGTAGATCGCTACTTTTGTCCAAATCAAAAAAAAAAAAAAACATACGTTAAAATATAAAAAATCTATAATATAAGATATTATATGTTAAGTACGAATTATATAATTAGAAAAATCAATAGTTTGGTTAAAGTAAAAAAATCGTGAGGTAAGCTAACAATGTACCGACATTACTTTGGTTTCAATAATTTCCGAATCGCGAAATGTGCTAATTCAAAAATAAGGAAAATACGAATGCACTCGCACCCCGATGCTTATAGGTAAAACCATCTACTCGGATATTCACGGGGAACAACGAGATCATAAGTACAAGAATTTACGGGTAACAATACGCTCACGTATACATAACAATAGATACCGACGAGGGGAATAGGGGAATGGTTTAGCTCCTTTTTGCCATCGTATTACTTAGCTCGAAGTGCCTACTTTGACGATTTGCCGAAACGCGTACTGCATTTCATCCTCTCTTTCGCGCTTTTTATAATGTTTTGTACCTAGATGCACTGACGACACGACGACACGGCACTGACTCACTTGTATGTGTACGGCCATGCGAGGAAGGAGCATTACACGATGAAAAAATATGCAGCCAATTGAGCTTCCCACTCGCGAATTTTACATAATATTTCGACTTTTAAAATATGGCTTTCGATATAATTTAATCGATTGATAATCAATCGCCCCTTCAAATAGCTACATATTTATCATTATTTTATTTAAATCTATCCCATCATAATATATAATTTGTTTTTAAATTTATATTTACACGATTAAGTTGTGGCATGAATCATTATAATACGCTGATAATAGCCATAATCGTATAGGCCGTGTATTATGTTACTACCACATTTAATTAGACGTATAACGTATATATATATATATATATATTTAAAATTCCAATTAATAATACGACACTTCGCAAACTCATCCTCCATATAATTTTTTTCATTATCAATTAATGTCGTTATTACAAAAGATCAATCGAATTAATTGTATTTCAGTTGAGATTATTATCAAACTGTGCATCTTAAAAGAGAAAATTGATGATTCGTAATGAATCAATAGAATATTTCATTACGCGATTTATCAATGCTTCATAGACAAATAAACAATTTCCTAAATTTGTATGAATTCGATGCTATGCCCTTCGAATTAATTTATTTTATTACATATTCGCATTATTACTAATTTCTCACAAATTTCTCACCCTTGTACGCGCGCGCGCACACAAACACACACACAAAACTTTATTTATGGATTTGGTCTATATGCATGTGTGCGTAAATACACGTATTCCGCAATTGCTTAATTGGACTGTTATTACCTTTTACGCGAAATGAAAAGTTACAGCGAGTCCGTGCTAATATTTTCTTAACTTTCTTTACTCTTTATTATTTAATTCCACATTTATCCAATGGTCGCTAAAAGTAAAAGCCTATATATGTAAGAGTTTGTACACAGGTAAATCTGAATAAAGCCCTGTTTACTGCGCAAAGTTCTTACGTAGATAAATTCACTTGAGGAACTGATTTACGTTTCGTTGCATATTCTCTAATGTTGTTCGATTATTCCTTTTCATTATTTTCATTCCCGCTCTTTATCTTTTACTCTTATTCCCTTTGCTGAATCGTATTAATACTGTGGAACTATTTTCCCGAGAGTCGCTATTCTAATATTGTGGTACAATGCGCCCTCCCTATAGACGTGTGCGTGAGCATACGTAGTGGTTTCAGTTGATTTTAGATATGCAAAATATTGGGAAAGTGTTGGAGTTCTAAAAATTCAATCTCGTATAATACGGTATACAGTCTCGTTAAAATATGAAAACTTACGTGCTCTTATAAATATTTCGATTAATTTATTATATTAGTTTATGCAATTTCTCTATTTTCAATTCGTACAATGTAATTTAGGAAAATTTAAGTTGAGCTGCGAGATTATATCAAAAACAAACAAAAAACAAAAACAAAATGCTTGTCTTTTGTATAAATTCAATTAATTAAGCAAATATAACTAATTAGAGAGTGAAAGTTTTGTAGATACTCTTTGGACGTATAAAGAAAATCTTTGGTAATTTGAATATTTTACTTTGTTCTTGCTTGTTAGATTTTTTTTTTTTTTTTTTTTTTTTTTTTTTTTTTTTTTTTTTTTTTTTTTTTTTTTTTTTTTTTTTTTTTTACCATATTACTTATATTACAGAAATGCTTGTGTTTGTATGGCATTTATACAAATTAAATACTAATCTTTATTCTGAATATATGATGGATTTGACTTAAAATAAATTCGGCTAATTTAGTGATATTTTGAAATTCTTATGTTTGCATAAAAACCAATTAAATTAAAAATGGTAAATATAAGCTCACTACCAGAAAGCGTAATTTACAGAAAATATAATTTAAAATACTCGGAAAACAATGCTTATCATCTGATTTTTATTGAATCGTTTTTTCTTAAATTTATTAGATTTAATTTTCAATTGCCATTGTATGATAATAAAAAAAAATCAAGAATATTTTAAAACTTGTTTTATTGAGTAATAAATGTGAATTTAAATATTTTCTTTTCTCTTGAATGTTTAAAGGAGTGAATATAGACAAACAAATCATTAAAACAATAGAAAATTATTATAATGAACTTGTATGCGATATAATTATATATATATATATATATATATATATATATATATATATATATAATATTTAAATTTATTACAATATACTAATTTTCTTTTTATTTTTGTAAAATTGAGATATACATAAAATGGAGTTATGTCAAATAAAAATTTTGCATTGTTACGACGGTATCATTACAAATAACCTAACATTAAAAATGATTGAAATAAATGTTCATTCCAGTTATAAATCTGCATAATGTCCTACCAACGATTTAAGATCTC